GGCGAGTAGTTGACGATTTCAGCTTAACATGAATTATGTGTACTTGCTATAAGGTACAGATAAACTTGACTGTGATAAATCGGTTTCACATATGGTACCACCTGTTTGTTTATGGATGAATGTCTCGAGGGTTAGGGCAACTCAGCCAGTAGGATATCGAATTGTCATTTAAACATCGAGATCGCAGGTACGAATTCCGACCCGATCATGTTTGCGTTGAACCGTGCGAGGTTGAGAAATTAGTATCACCATATGGTACGTAAACAAGGTAGTAGAGGTTGTCTTTAGGGTCCTGTATGGTACTACTGATTAGTGATATCGCAACAAGGTTAGCGCGGCAACATAAGGTAGGAATAAAGGGTGCTAGATATGTCACTCATCGTGCAGAACTCATCGTGGTCTCTTACCATCCCATCCTGTCTCTGACGACTTCATTTAATCCTCTAGGGCATTGCCATGTAAAAACCAGTGCTCCGTGTACGTCCTTATATGTTTATGCAAATGATATGGGTTGTTACGCCGGGCTTACAGAGTAGGTTGATAAATGCATCACTCCGTCCACCCTCCGTAGGGTACCCACTCACGGCACATCATAGTTGCGGAACAAGGTATGCTGTAGGTAATGGAGTGATGTGTTATGCATTTAGTGCCATTTTATGCATGAATCCTTACTTTCTATGAAGTGGCGAAACCTGGCTCGTAGAGTCATGCGCGTAGTATTAGTACTATGCCACTGACGCTTTGAAGTTACTGCCACTTCAGCTAATATAAAAAGCGTCAAATCTTTAGTGGGCTAAACTGTTGAGTCATCAGAGGTATTGACTCATTACGCACAGCGCTAAACTGCCTCCGCTGCCCTAGCCATAACGAAACAAGTGCTTAGCTTAGTGTTGCCACGTTAAGAGGTGTCTTAGCCTTTAGTTACAATCGCAATGGATACAGAAAGAAGAACAGCACGTGGGCATCAAGTTTTGTACACAGAACAGCAAAGCGGAACGTCACTTCTCTGAATGTTAAGAACTGCATATCAGCCAAATCAGTCAATATTGTTTGTCGCGTAAATTACGCAAAATAGTAGGTAAAGCAGCCATAACAACATACATGTAATGCACAAACAAAGAACAAAAAACAAGCTTCATAATAATGAGGTGAGGAATAAAGGGTTATGAAGAGGAAGTGGATTGATGAATTGAAAATTAATGTTATGTAAATGTAGGGGTTAACGATCGATTCAGGCAGCTTCCGCCTTTCCCGTTTCTCTGCCTCAGCCCGATGCCAGTGCAATAGAGGAACGTTTTTCCAAGAAACGACCGATGATCAGACATCATAAATCTAGGTTACCATTCTGTTTAAGTTCTCTAAATTTCAGAAGACGATCACAAATCAGCGGACAATAATGACAGCAGAGACCGAGCCATCTGCGAGATTACAGATTTTCTGTCGTATAAATGCATACATTGGCATTGGTACCTTGCAGAATGAAACCTTGAAGTGCATTCTGAAATAGCGTGATGCAGCGTACGCAAGGGATCGGTCAGAATAAATCTTACGGTCTGCAATGGGACTGAAAATGAATGGCATGGTTCATGTCAGAATGCAGCCCCTGCTGTGATTCTAAAGCCGCACTTATGCAACGCACTGTTCGCCCGCAGTGCGTCAAGCTGTCTCGGTACAATCATTTTACAAGCCTCAAAAGTTCTGTACTTATCGTTTTAGATATGGTTGTGTTTTTATGCACAAAACGGAATTTGACGATTCGCATCGAAATACATATTTTGTTTACTTTAATAAGTTGGCATGTTGTAAGTTTGTTTTGTTTTGCAGAAAAGCTCTTGCATGAACTGATCACTTCGACTCAGCAGAGGATCGACCAAGTGTCCAGCTTTCTTCAGGATATCGATCCATCACTCAGCAAGGATGTTGTGGTCATCAACGATCAGTTCGGTCCTTCAGTCGAGAAAGAAGACATCGATTGCATCGTAGCAACCAGCGAAACCGCAAAGGGAGCGTTTGCCGTCAACGAGAAACGCTGCAAAGAAAACGTGAGCGACGTTTTCACTTGATTCCATTTCGTTCACCTTTTCGTTTTTAGGGATTGAACCCTTTGGACGTATTCGTTATTGAACTATTACATGGGTCGCGTGCCGGCATTATTAGCTCACGAGCGTTAAGTTCGTCCGAACACCGTTTCGAGTTGCTGGGAACTCTGCTCAAACCTCCGAAGGTGCAGTTCATTTTATGTCACTTCAGACTCAGCAATTAACTGAGTTATTACCTCATAGCTTAACGGCTCAGTACTCTGCATGGGTTTGACTCTAGAACTGTCACATTCGAAACAACTTACGAGGACAATCATACCAATACTGCTTACTACTCATTTGATCCTACTGCGAGTCCCTTCGAAAAGCCGATGGCTAGAATTCAAAGGGGTCGTAGTGACACAGTTGTAAAGTTCTAAAAATGGCTGCAACGAACTCTTGATGTGTTAGACTCGAATTCAGAGAAATGACTATCATAGTCCTAACCGCGAATTCTATTCAGCAAGAAATTTACCCTTTGTAACTTTGGCACAGCCATCTGGTAGAAAGCCATTGACTTGCGAACAACAAGGACAGCGTCGTATTGCGACGTGGTCATGCCACGACTGGCGAGAAGAACAGCTCGAAGCCATGCTCTTCGATGCGAGTGTTTTTGTGACTGACTGATGTTCGCCTTGACCCACTTGATGGTTGACTCTTCAGTGTGATAATCAACACAAAATGTAACCTCAAAATGAAAAACGGTGAGAAAGTGGCCTATGAGACAGTGGCAAGACGAAAGGCAAGAAAAACCTCCTGATAAAGTCAGACTTGCGGTGCTCTCATATTCATAGACTCATGTCACGGAAATTGTTGTGGCGGTGCGACCGTTATGTCGTAACGTAATTATTTAGAGTGTAATGAAGCGTGAAATGCTACGCGACAAAGTTCAACCATCGGTCAGTGACGTAGTTTTGATGATCGCATCGCTTATACTTCCGGTCACGGAGCCAAACGTGTCAAACAGTGTCTCCAGTGTTCCTGATCCTGTGCCACTGTTTTATCTTCTGCAGAGGATAACCTGAGTCCGGAGCAGAGTCCTTCAACCACTTTTTTGGATATTCTTGGCCGTCCCCGGGGTCTTTGGTCACTCGGTTGGGTCAGTAGCCGCTGTTTCGTC